TGGCCTTTTAGTAGTTTTTCATTAAAAAAGACTACTGTTGGGCAGTCCAACTAGTGTGCAAGAAGGTGAGAGGGAGAGAAGGGGACTTTTACTTCTAGTGTTTTTAAAATTAGCACTGTTTTTTCATGTTTCTTAGTTCTCTCCATCTGTGGGGAGATGGTAATCTTTATCCAAGCTGAGTTAAAAAAGCTCAAGGGCAGTGGCACTCCCAGAGCTCTGGGAACATGGGGAGAGGCAGCTGTTGCCCTTGGCCCCTGTGCTTAGCCGGCCCTGGCAGGACCCTGCTGGAGCCTCAAATGCCCTTTCTTCCCCTCTGGGCTTTGGGTAGGGGTTTAAGTACCCTGCTGTCTCCCTCTAGCCTGCTTCCTGTCACCTGTGAACGAGCAGCTAATTGTCGTTAGGCCGCTCTGCTTTCCTCCTTAACCGCTCCTCCGCTTTCTCTGCTGCCAGTAACAGGGGTAAGGGTTCCCTATCTGGAAATTTCTATTATTACTGGTGGAAAAATATTTCCCTTGGTTTGTGAGTATGAGGTGAAGTTGACATTTATCAATGTTTAGCAGTAAAAACTGAATCCTGCCAAGCCTAGCCATGATTCAGAGGATCACTGGTAGGCTGCTACTACTGCACAAACTATAGGGCAGTTATTACATACTATATAAATATTGCAGGTTGTATTCAGCAGTAGTAAAATAACCATCTTTTAATACAGTTTTTCAAGGGTCTGTATTCTCAGTATTCATGCCGATTGAATAAAATATTATTTTTCTTTTTTGTTATTTCAGTCACCCATAAGTCTCTGGCACTTTTTTTAGGCTCAAAAATCAAACTGGAAAAAAACAAATTGGGTTCCATTCTGCTGATTTCTGCATGGTTCATCCACTGGGCTAGTGCCTTTGCATCACTACACAAATCCCTGCCACTTGAGCTGAGAAAGTAATGGAGAGCCATAGAGGTTGTCATTTTTTTGAGCCAAAGGTGAAGGAGGGTAATAAACCTGAACACACCTTTACCAGAGGGATTTGCAGGTACTCTCTGATAACAGGGGAATGGAAAAAATGGAAATCTTTTGGGATCCCTTCCAGGCCCTCAGTCACTTTGAAGTTGGTTCGTGTATAATTAGGGACCTACTCAAATCGCCATGGCGTGGATTTTGCAGAAACCGCAGAATTGGGTAATCTGCAGGAAATGCGTGGGGGAGAAAAACCCGAAAAAACAACAACCACCTTTTTTAAAAATGCTGGCTGCACAGCCTGGCACAAAGGGGGCTGCCAGCACAAAGGCGAGCAGGCACTATACTATGGCTGTCGTCCCTGCCGTTTGTCACTGATTGGGTGAGAGGGCTGCCTATTGTACAGCCTTTTTCCTCTCCTCCAAACAGTGACAAGGGGTGTGGCCCCATGATGGACAGCACTCTCCCCCAATCGGGGTGGGGGTGGGGCTACTTGGGCCCCTTGGCCAATCAGAGGTGTGTGGTGGGGGGAGCACCAAGATAAGCCTGTAAAAAGTGGCCAACCTCCTGATTTGCTTGCAGAATTGAGCATATCCTTTAGTTGGGTAGACCCCTTATGCATAATCTAGTCGGGTGTAGGAGGGGGGAGAGGATGGACAATTCTCAATGAGGACAGAATCGTTTGGAGATTTTTATTTGCTAAAATTCAAGCAGTTTCCTCTGAGCATGTGCAGGTTGCAGTTTTTCAAAGGCATTTAACTTGGTTTTACAGGGGTGGTAAGAGTTTCATCCTTGGCACAAGAGGCCTCTCCCCTTGCCAAGTGTGTCAAGTCCCTGGTCTAAAGCATAGGTGCACTAGAGCAGTGTTTCTCAACCAGTGAGACGTGAAGGCCGTCTAGGGGGGACACGGAGAAGTGGCGGGCTCGCCGCTGGCACTTCCAGGTTCACTGCTGGCACTTCTGCTGCTGTCGGCACTTTCAGATTTGCTCATCAGCCAGCTGCTGGGGGAGTCTTCCCCCCGGCCCGGCTTGTTGCTTATTTTGGTGGGACTATGGTTTCTGGGGCCAATGGTTGGTGGGATGTAAGGTGGAAAAGGTTGAAAATTGCCGCACTAGAGCAGTGCAGAAGAAAAGTTGCCTGATTTTAGTACAGTCAGAACAGCATTTTTCTCTTATTTGAATTTAACTGAACAGTTTAGCTGAAATCTTTCCAGAAAAAATTCAGCTCACCATATATAATTTCAGCCAGGTTGGTTGAAGTTTGGCTGTTACAGGTTACTACAGACAGGGTCCTTAATTCTGGGAAGTGTAGCAGAGCTTCAGCAGGTGACACTATATCTGTCTCTTCCTAACCTCTGATCCTAAATTGCGTATTGGTAGAACTGTTAACACATAAGAAGAAACTGCGTTGCCTTCATAATAACCAGGTTTTGAGAATCTGGCTGTAGCCTCTCCTTATCTCTGTATATCATCCTGTTTTCAGATTTGCATGCATTTATCGTGTCTGGTCTGGTTTGGAAAGCTTGCTCTTCGGGTAGAACATCTCCGCCATTGCTTCTTCTCCCACCACTTATTCTTAGTCTTAGTGTGTCCAGGAAGTAGTCATGGCAGCTCTTTCTTGGAACAGGAGAAATGTTTAATCTAGAGAGGCAAGGTCTGAGAAGGTCTGCTGTACATCCAGCAGAAAACTGCAGTCCCAATTTAAAAAGTCCTTGAGAAAGTGAGGAAGATGAGGTAAATGTGTGGGTGTGCTTTATCTTTTATCTTTAATCTTCTCTTGTTTTGTTTTAATTGTGCACGGTGTGGATAAGTGTAACAATTTCAGTGTATGGCTTGTACTATAAATCTTCAATTTCTGAGTGTTTTGCGTGGCTCTGACCCCGTGGGCAGTATGGGGGCGTGGGCCAGCCCTGGCTCTGGCCCCGCAGAGGCAAAGGGGTCGTGTCCCGGCTCTGGCTATGTGGGGTGGAAGGAGACATGGCCCGGCCTTGGCTTGGCCAAATGTGGGGAAGAAAGGTGGCCCGGCCCTGGCTCAGGTACGGGGCTTTGGAATTTGGCATCATGGAAGAGGTGGCAGTATTTAATTGCAACTCCCCATCTGGTGGGGAGCCCTGCCATGGCTTGGTGGGCTGGTTGAAGACTGAGCACCCCTACTTTGAACAGTTTAAAAGATGCGTCTTAAATATACAATAGAAAAGTATGGTAGTTTGGCATTAAATTGTATCAGAGACTTGTTAAAAAACTGTTGGAGGCGGTTACCAGTGTTTGTGTTAAGAGTTGATTCTTCTGTGTATTTCTTTAAGAACCCCAAAAATCAAACAGAACACCTGCAAAAGGATTAAAAGAAGACAAGGTCAAGTAAGTGTTAAGTCATTTAATGGTGTCATATGAGATACTGTATACAGACAGAATTGGATGGAGCCAAGTATTATATTAACACCCTTTATCCGAGTTCTCCAAGGCATTGTAAACTCCAATTTCAGAGATTACAAGAACATCTTGTGTGTGCGCACGCACACGAGATGCTGTTGCAGTAACAAGTTACAGCAGAGGCCTGGAAGTTGTCTTCAGAGTTTTATTCACAGCTCTGTTATTAGATACCATGATCTGCAGAATAGTAGGGAAATATTTGCCTTCTAACCAGTATGTAATTTTAGGTTTAGCCATCTAATCTCTGATCCTATTTTAATATGAATGACTGTTTCTTGGCTTAAAAAATAGTGTACGTGCACAAGAGAGCTATGCATAAGTATGCAAATATGCATTTTAAAATATAGATGGATGAGCCTGCCTGTAAGATTTTGATGTGTTCAGTTCTTATTGAGTAACTTAAGTATATATCACTTATTTTTTCTGTCATTGTAACATTAATAGAGAACATCAAACACCAGAAAGGGGATGTAGTTCCTAAGGTGGTGGTGGTGGTGAGAAGATTGAAAACAGCTTTTGTGGCTGAGACCAACAAGGCCCTTTTGTTAAAAGCTAAGAAACTCCCCATCATCAACAAATAATGCAAAACAACAGAATGTTGCATTTGTCGGCAAAAAGACTGATTAACATGGAAGGATAAAAACACTGTTCCCTTCAATTGACCATTTATTTTTGAAAGATTGCTTTAGAATTTGATTAGGATTTTGCAATTACTGAATATTTCTTGGAATCATTTACTTTAATTCACAGGCTTGGATAAAACTGGAACTGGACCCGAAACATGGACACTGTTGTAGAGAATATAGGGAGAGCTAATCCAGAAGCCAGTTATCAAATGGTTTATAGAAAAATGGAAGATATTCTGAATGCATAGCTGCAGAATAACCTGCCTTTTGGAGTGGTTTTCCTTATTACCTTGGTTGCAGGTTTGCTTGTGTTTTAGGCATCGAGTTATGTTCTTTTAGATATTGTGGGGTGGGTGAGGGGGGTTGCATGATTATTTCAAGTCTACAACTCCTTTTGTTTGTATTGCAAAAAATACCAACCTTGTCATAGGTTGCAAGGTCCTGTCTTATGTAGGAGTGTAGTAGAGGGTTGTAATTCAAAATAGGCTGGAAGAGATCACTTGGTAAGAATTGTTCATAAGTCTGCCATATTATCTGGCATTGGAGATTTGAACTGAGGACTTCCAGAGTTGGACGTGGGAGACTTTGTAGTGTGAGGCAGAGCCAGTCCTTCATGCTAGAAGTGGACTTTATGCTCTATGCTTTATGCTCTAACATTGGACTTTATGCTCTATGGACTGAGTTTAGAGGGAGGCACTTTGTGGTTGTGCATTAGCAAGGGCTCGCAACTTGCGCCTTGTAATGAAGGCAGTATTATATTTAAGATGTTCAACTTATTTGTGCTTTCGTCATAAAGGTTAGAATAGTTCTTCTGCTGTCGAGTAGGTATTCCACAACAATGTTGTTTGTTTGAATGTTAGGATTTGATTCTTGTGGGCAGTCATGAGAGGGGTGGTTACTGATTTGATGCTGCAACCCTATGTTAGCTATTGACGTGCTTAATATTTTAAGACTAAGTAATGCTCACATTAACATTTGCTTCTTTTTTCTCCTGTGTTGCAGAAATTCTAGTAAGGAGCATTTGACCATCTAATCTCCAACTCTTCAACCTTCCAATATCAGGATTAGAAAAGAGTGCCTTCAGAATCAATATGTAGCAAAAGGGTATTGTGCTACTGAAGCTCCTCCCTCAATCCAATTGTTTGCATTTTAAGGATCCTTGTAGCTTCAGCAGCAAATTGTCACATTAAAAAAGTGGATTTCATGTGGTGCTTGCAAAACATTGAATCGCCATGAGTAGTAATCTAGGAAAAGAAAAAGACTGTAAAGAGAAGGATCCAAAAGTCCCATCTGCAAAAGAGAGAGAGAAGGAGGCCAAGGCGTCTGGAGGGCTTGGGAAAGAGAGTAAAGAAAAGGAGCCTAAGACCAAAGGGAAAGATGCCAAAGATGGAAAAAAGGACTCCAGTAGTGTTCAGCCTGGGGTGGCTTTTTCAGTGGACAACACGATAAAACGACCTAATCCAGCCCCAGGCGCTCGCAAAAAATCCAGCAATGCTGAGTTGATCAAAGAGCTAAATAAATGCCGGGAAGAGAATGCGATTCGCTTGGACTTAGCCAAGAGGTCTATACACATGCTTCCATCGTCTATCAAAGAGTTGACACAGCTAACGGAACTTTATTTATATGGTAACAAACTGCAGTCCTTACCGCCCGAGGTGGGCTGTCTCGTGAATCTGGTGACACTGGCACTGAGTGAGAACTCGCTTACCAGTTTGCCTGACTCTCTTGATAACTTGAAGAAATTGGCCATGCTTGACTTGCGGCATAACAAACTTAGAGAAATTCCTTCGGTGGTGTACAGGCTATGTTCTCTCGCCACTCTTTATCTACGCTTTAATCGTGTAACTACTGTGGAAAAGGATATCAAAAACTTGTCAAGACTCACCACGCTTAGCATACGAGAGAACAAAATTAAGCAACTACCTGCTGAAATTGGTAAGCACTTACGCTGTTCAGAAGCTTCTGGTGAATCTGTAAGTTAACACTAATTGAAACAAGTGCGTGTATGGAAGATTGACCTATGAAATTCCTCCCCCCAGTTCAAACTTGCAGTGTTGTGTGGTAGGTCGTTTAGCTCTCACCTGCGTTACTGCAATACTTGATTACATTGGATATAACCCGTTTAATGTATGTATCTCAGTTTAGAAAGATCTTTCCTCTGGTTCATAGTCTTGCAACTAGAGTGGCAGGGGAAGGGTTGTACCCTGTTGTGCCTTGCTCTTTGGCATAAAGAGACCTGTCTTATCCTGTTATATCGTCTATCTCAGCGGTTCTCAACCTTTTGCACCTTATGTCCCACCTACATAAGGTCAAAAAATTCTGGTCCCACCGGTCAACGAGCGCAGGGACAGACTGAAGTGTGCTAAAGCTGCTGTGGTATTTCTGGTTTCGCTGCCGCGACCCGAGTCCTGCCTAGAGGACCTTTGCGTCCCACCAGTTGAGAAACCCTGATCTATCTGATGTAGCAGAAAAGATTCTAGGTCGCATTTTATGTTAAGTTTCCATTTTTAATGGGATATAAATGTTTAGATAGTATAACAATGTTATGGTCTTGGGTAATGTGTTATAGGGCTTTGTAAGTGTGTGCATGTCAGTAGAAAGTATTATGGTGGTTGTGTGCCATAATTATAAGCAATCTGGATGCTGTAATAATATAAAATAACTGGTATATTAACATATACCTCTTTTCAAAGAAAAAAATATAGGTTGTAAATAAACCTTATGAAAGTTTGAAAGAAGACAAACTATCAGTACTGAAGTAGTTTGATCTTTTCAAGTGATGATTTATGTACAGGGATACTATAACTCCCAAGCTGTCTGATCCAGAAAAGCATCTTTGCTCAGGAAATGATTTTCAAGCAGGTTCTTAATGGGATTTACACATGTATGTCAACTAATTTAAAAATGGGCACTAATTAATATATTTTAAAAACTGGAATCTTAAAGAAGATGGAAATCTTTCAGGGTTGTGTTTTGTCATTTAGGCATAGATTTCATATATTTCACAGACACTAGGGCTGGAAGGGACCCTGGAGGATCATCGAGTCCAGCCCTCTGCCCCCGGGACAGGAGGTCAGCAGGGATCATAGGATCCCAGCAAGATAATGTAGATTTTCAAAAGTATTTTGGCCTTGCCTCACTGATAGTAGTCTTTCCTGAGTCCCATTTTCAAAAAGGATCTTTCTGTTAATATTCCCCTAGGCTGGTTAGGGGGTGCAAAAATTGGTTTAGGGGGGTCCCCTCAGTAACTTGTGTAAAGTTGGGGAAGACCATTGTTTTAAATCCTTAAATGACCTCTGTCAGATTTGTGCATTTTGTCAGTTTGCCCTTGCAATCCAGGATACTAGATTGCTCACCTCCATAGCAGCAGTACCCACTACACACTTCCCAGCCTGAAGCTGCTGATCATTTGACTGGCAGCGTCCAGTGCAAACAAATTGGATCCACAGAATAACTTGGGCATGTACAAATGTTATAGGACTGCTGATGGCCGGTTTCAGTTTCTAGCTCTCTGCAGGTGCTACTGGAAAAATCTTTAAGGTAAACGCTAATGTATTAGTATGTAAATAATGCATGCATTTTGTGTTATGCTATGCCAAAGCAGGCAGCACGGACCTACTGTATTTTGCACAGAACACACTGAGTATTTAAATTGTCTTTAGTTAGCAAGCATTGTGGTTTTAAAACTCAGGGCTTATGTAACATGCTGTGCTGCTGGCTTGTCCACAGGGAAGGAGTGCCAACTACAGCTGTCAGTGAAGAGCAGTTGATTTAGCAAAACTGCTAGAAAGCTGTGCTGAAGGTCCTGCGTTCTGTGCCCACGTTGTCATATGGTAGTGGGTGTGCTATAACGTGTTGGTCTGAACAGGAAATAAAAACTCACCCTGTTCCATGAAGCAGAGGGATAGTGCTCCTATTCTATCATGAGAGGCTGTATTAAAAAGGGCATAGGTGGCTGGGTGCAAAAATGAAGCTCCAGCATCTTTTTGTCCTCTTGATGAAAGGGCATTGTCATGGCCTTCATGCCAGTCCAGCATGTAATACTGTTTTTGACTATGGTGGCTTCATCATCACTGGGCATCGCGGGCATCCTTTGATTAGTTAGCACAAGGTGGTCCTTTTCTTCTCTAGTTTCCAAATAATGAACTCCCATTAATGTTTAGTTTCCAAACGTCTAGAATGAACTCCCAACAACTTCTAGCAGAAGTTTTTACTCGTCTCTGAGTCTGTGATTCTTGACCAGAGTGCTAGTGGCACCCTGGGATGTTGTGACGTTTTGTTAAGTGTCACAGGGTGCCACACAATATTAGCACTCCTAGGTATGCAAATATCTACACACAATTCACAAGGTAAACCCAGAGACTTGAAATAGGAGCCTGTAATGTCAAAAATCTTGTGACCTATTGTGGTTTTTCTGAATTCTTCATAACAAAAGAGTTGCTCTATTATTTTTTCTTAATCAAAAAATGAGTGAAAGCTAAGAGCTGGCATTTACAAGGGGTACCTTGGGTCTAAAAAGGTTGATAATCACTTCCCTAAGTATATGGCTGCACTTTGTACTTTTAAATGGTACCCCATTTCCATTTTTCCAGTTCTATACTTTATCCTACTCCTCCTGTCTACTGACCTCCTTATTTTTTACTATCATAACATTTCATTAGTACCTTCCTTTTGTGTTGGGGTCATTAATCAAAACAGTAATGAAGATTGGTCTCCAGTCAGGTATTTGAAGAAGTCTTCCAGTAGCATCCCTCTTGGTTGATATTCCATTTCCAGCTGTTATCGCCCTGTTAGTCAGTTCTGGCAGGTCTGGAGTTCTTACAATCTTTGTACCGTGCCTCACCTTCCAGATAAGTCTATGTAATACTCCATCAAAAGCTGAAAAACGGGTTGGAAAATGTGCTGTCTCTTACATTTTTCTTGAAAATTAGCTATCTTTCTTTAAGGTATCAGGTCTGGCTTTCTGTACCCTGTACCATGTTCCATTTTCCATTTAACTCCATATCTTCGATTATTCTCACTTTCAAAATTTTGTTTGAAAGTCTTGAAAACGATTGAGGTCAGATTATGTCTCTGTCATCATCAGTTTGTTTCCACCTCCCCGTTCTCAAGTCCACATACTACATTTGCTTCCAGTCATATGATGGCACCTGTGATTTTTCTAGATCTGTTCATTAAGGACGCTTGCTGATGGGGCTGCAACTCCCAAATGGATTTCTAATGTGGCACAAATTTAAAAAGAAAAATAATGCAAGTGGGTGTGAAATTTCACTTTTATGTAAAAGAAAAATTAAGCACTGATCTTAATACCATATCCTTATACGTAGTTAGAAAATCACCAATGCAAAAACATTGTTCAGATATTATCAAAACATGGATTTCACATGCATTCATTTTGGAAATAAAAAACCCAACAGTATTTGTTTCCCTAGGGGATTTTTTTTTTGAAAACTCAGCGTGAGACAGAGAACAGTTTGATTTTCATATCTATCTTTAACCTGCTTTTCCGTCAAGAGTATAAATGATCTGTAAGCCTGGTTTGCTTTTCAAGTGTTAGAATAGCTCTTGGGAGTGACAGTTTTTTGCTGGTAAAGTTAGAACAAGCTAATTCTGACCCAGTGGACAGATATGCGGGGACCAGTTTGGTTGTGGTGCATTTATCTATCATCCCACCTGATGGACCTCGCTGATGTTTTAGCAAAACTTGAAGTATTTTATTAATTAACAAATGTACTACAGTTCCTGCTCTTTCTTCTCCAGTGCCACTGATTTTTTTTTTTTTAATTAAAAACATTTTTGTGGGTGTAGTGCAAATGTGTAAACTTCTACCTGACAAGTGTTTAGATACCAAGCACCTGTCTGTAGAATTCAATTAATTGTCAACTGCAAAATTAGGGGCAACTTCTCACTCAGATGCTGTTTCTCACATTTAGGGTTTTTTTCACTGTTTTATTTCTGTAGCACCTAAAAGTTTTCATAGCACTTAGGAATCATCAAGACTGAAGGACTCTCAAGGATGGTTGTTTGTTTTTAAATCACTCATTTTAATTAGTATTTAAGTAAATATTAATGTAAATACTTTGTTTAATTTTATATTTTAGTTAATTTCTTAGAGAGGTTTATTGTCCTGTCTTGTAACTAGTTGACTTGTAAGTTATTTTAGCACTACTTTTTGGTAACAAGGAAGACCTGCTGTATCTCGATTCCTTCAACTCGCTTAACTCACAGTTATGTAGCTTCTTAATTTCTATTTTGTAGTATGTTTTTGGAAAAAGGTGAATCATTCATCCTTTTTCCTAGCTTAATATATTATTTGTGCTGAGCTCTAATTGGGAAGGACCTGCAATTTTATTTCACAATTTAAAAAAAATTAAAATAGAGAATTACCTTCAGTGTAGGAAGCAGGTAAGAAAAAATGATCAGAATAGGTTTTGCATTTTAAACAAGCTGATTTATTAAACAAAGGAAGTATTACCAGTAGTTAGTTAATTAGACTAATTGCTTTTGGTCAAAGTGTCTGTCAGGCTTTTAGAACTAGTGTTTTTCCTTTGCCTCGCTTTATTCAGAGACGGTAAGAGGAAGACGAGCTCTCCTAGCCTTCAATCCCCAAAGTGCTTCTTAGTTTTAAAGTCAATGAACTGAGCTAAGCCAATAAGTTGAAATGAAGAAAGTGTTGTTTTCTGTATCTGCAGAAGCTACGTCTGTCCAAAGCTGTGTTTAGCACTTCAGCAAACTCAGGTTGAGGCGGCTTAGCCAGTGTCTGCCCTCAGGTCAATCGTTCGGTGGTTAAATGTTTTTAAAACTTTGGCAACAAACATATTGCTTGAAAACTATTTTATTTAAGTTGATTGTCGTAAGTTTAGGCCTCGATACAGGCAGATTATTTAAAAATCTGATTAGAAAAAAACAAAGTTTCTTCACTATTTCTCTACTCT